ACAGCCAACGGCAAATAATTAAGCTTGCCCAGCTAGCACCTGTGGCCCTAGCAACCAACCAACAAAACGCCCAGGTGGTTGCAACTGTAGCCTAAATGCTCCGAGCAGCTGGGAAACTGTTCGGCCCTTGGCCGGCTCGGTTGTAGCCGTATGAATGTAAATAAAGTTCAACCATGAATTACACCGCAGACAGATAGGCAGCAGCCTACGTCGCTGCGGCCTTTCCCGCTGCCATCCTTAGCTCCGTTATCTGTAACTGAGCCTGCAAGCGACTGTCTATGTCCCTTGGCAAGGATGTGGGCAGGCGTCATATAGAACATGAGCAATGGTCAGCCAGCTGTTTAAGAACTAAATTATGCAATTTGAGGCCCAGTACTGAGGCTAAGAAATAATTAATACTAACAACAGAAATAATGATCGAACTGGGTATACACACGGCCACACTGTGTTGCCAGGCTGGGACTGGAACCCTGCTTCCTCGGCTAGTCAGCTGCTGCGGCTACTTTTTCTCCTTGGCCATAAATAACAATTGCCAACGACTTTGCCACAACATAAAAAGAGGAGGAACGCAACAGCAAGTCCGAGGGCAGAAAATATGGCGCCGAGATTCGGTTTTATGGTGATTGTGTGGGAAAATCGGCGCCTGGTCAAAGCCAGCTGTCTGGCAGCGGCGATAAAAACCAATGCAAATATGAAAAGCAAATGAAATCCTTTTAATTTGGCAAATAAAACTGAATGCCAGGCGGTCGTCGATGCTCTGCTCTCGGTTCTTGGTTCCCGGTCCTGGACCCTCTGTCCTCAGTCCTCTGAATTCTATACAAATTTGAACAAGCCCAAAAGATGCGCAAAGAAACAGCACAAAAGCTGTGGATTCTTTGGAGTCTTAACTTTTGGCATGTAAATGCTTTTTTCATGTATCCAGTAAGTGAACGCATGAATTAAGTCAATCCGACATAACCAGAGCTCAAGGAGCGAAGAACTCAAAGTTCATTAAGTTAAACAAAGCTTTTAACTTCAAGTTACGCATGAATAATCATTACGCATTTTATTTTGAATAGATTTATCAGAGCTTGTTTTGCACACACATGAATCGAATCGAACATGCTTGAATACTTTTATGAATATACGTCAAAATAGGATGGCTACTCCTGCTAGCAATGAGAAGGGGCTAAATTAAATATGAATGCAAGACAAGGGAAACAAATTAGAAACCAGAAATGAAATGTACTTAGATTACAATTAATTTCGCATACAGCAGATGCGGAGCACGGACGCAGATACTCCTCCTCCCTACTCAGAGCTCTTGTCTCCAGGCACCCACACACAGACACCTATGCTCACCCAGTTGCGACATATCATTAACTTTGCTTCATAGCAGCAACACGAACGGCGATGATAACAAAATATTTATGTCAAGAAGAGGTGTAGTGGGGCGAAAGAGATGAAGTGAAATACGAAGGAAAGTAAGTCGACAGAGCAGGGGGTGGGTAGGTCTTTGCAATATATATACCGTTATACAGTGCCTTGATAGAACGCCCACGCGCAACACTCAATACTCAACACTCGGCACTCAGCACTCAGCACTCAGCACTGAGCAGCCCCGACATGGCTTACCATGCAAATTCGAGAGCCTATACAAATATTCATAAAATAACTTGAATCGCTTGCTCAAAATACTTGGCAGATATGAGATTTTGTGCGTTTCGGACTGGCCAGGCGAACGCAGATATCCGATTTTGTGGATTAGAGTCACCACAAGTCTGCTTTCAGCTGCTTGCGGCACATAATTTGCTTTTAATTTTTGTATATTTGCTGTGATGGCAAATCAACAAAATGAAAATATGAAAATTTCAACACAACAAAAGCTCGACTAGAGTGAAAAAAACCAAACCTAAAACCAGAAAAAATAAAAACGTATTAAGCACGCGCCTTTCTCAACTGAAGTAGAAATGCGTGCCAAACACCCAAAATTTCATAATCTGCCGAAGATGAAATACCCTTAAGGAAACAGGCGGGCAGCTTGAAAGCAATGCCTTAATACGAGTAGGGACTTCTTTTGGAATTGCTGCTTATGAGATATAAACTTTATAGAAGTAGCAAAATATCACTTTGGGAAGAGCAGAATCGTAGCTTTGATCAGTGCTCTTTATGTGTTCTCGAATGCCTTACACTTTTCGTGACAAAATCTTAATGCTCTTTGCAAGGGTACGAAACGAGCCGAGATACGAAAGGAAGCAAAATTGTATTCTATTCAAAAGCGAAAAAGCTGGCAGAAATATGAAATGAAATGTCGCAGGAATGGAAGGAATTGTTGGGAAATGCATACGCGGACAATTTTTTAATGCGAAGGGAGGTAACCTGAAACGCTTAATGGCATTCGCTGGTTGGCAATAAGCAGGCAAAGATGCCACAAAATGTTTGCCGGGCCAAAGGATAAGGGACAAAACAGCCAACAGGAGCAGTGAAGCAAAAGTGAAATGCGCTTGCAGCAGCTTAAATTTATATGACTGAATGTGTGTGTGTGTGTGGGTGTGGGTGTGTTGGTGAGTGTGTGAGTGCAGTGAAGCGTAAGAATCCTGGCAACAATATCAATATGCGTCTCTTGTGCTGCGTTTGCTACGTAAAGCAACGCCGCTGGCATTGTCAGCATCGACCCACAACCCACGCCTCGCGCTCAGCGCTCAGCGCTCGACGCTCGACGCCTTGGGCCACCGCCCCCTGCTGACAATTGTTTGCCAGCGGAAGTTGATTTTCTGGCAGAGCGGAAGTGCTGAAGCGCTGGAAAATGCCGCGGCAACCGAGAGTCAGCAGCGGGACAACACTTTGAATTTCATATTCGTTCAATTTTTTTTGTTTGCTGTGACGCATAAATTTTCATCTAACTGACACAAGCATCAGGCAAATGCGTACAAATGCGCGCCACACATGTATGCATACATACAAACATATGTATGTACGTATGTCCATATATACACACACATGTGGCAACATTCTGCTAATGCCATAGCATTGCGTATCAAAAGCACCTGGACTGGAGCCAGTGCCGCAGACGAAGCCAATTAACTCTAATGCGTGTACGCTGTCGGCCTTAAAGTTTTTTGTTTGTATATATTTTTTGCCTTTTCTGCTCTTTACCTTTAATTTCAGCGAGGATCGGCTGGTGTAGCCGCTGGGCAAACGCCAATGATTGTTGTCCAAAAAAAAAATACAGTCGTTGAACAACAGCAAGAAAAACAACAGACGAACAATGTGCGATCCTGCTTTGCTCAATCTTTGTCTGCGATCGAGTTCAAAGCAACAGCAGCAATGCAAGATCATTGCTGTTTCTGCCGCTGTCTCTGCGAGCGTCGCTGCGTTGGCCGCGGCTGCAGCACGGCAGCGGTACCTTGACTTTTGACGTTGTTCCGTATTGCAATAGCCTGAACAAAACACAATAAAGTAATGTCTTACTTTAGTATATAGACACACACACATAAAAGCATAAATATGCACACACACACTTATTCAGAGAAAACAGATTCTATTTTAATTGCGCAGGCGGCCTTTAGACTGAAGACCATTGACAATTGACGATTTGCGTTTCGCTTGATTTTGTCGTTTGTTTTTGTTTTTTTTTTTTTATGAAAAGCGGAAAACTGACAACGAGTCAGTTAGCGATAGATAATGGAAAGCGCTGAACGCCAAACACCCACAGCGTAAAATGCCGGCTGCAGCTGATTTCAGTTGAGGGGGGTCAAAAGGTGTAGAGGCAGTGGGGGAGGTACGGCGAGCAACGTACAGTGCACACACGGACGCAGCCGCGTGCCGTTTGTTATTTATAGCTATTTGATGCCGTTGCCTCTTCTCTGCCGCAACAGCAACGGCAACAGCAGCTTCAGCAGCAGTAACTGCGGCGTGTTTGTCGTCGTCTGCTCGAAATGAACGCAAAAACAAAACGCGGGGCCAACAACAGCAGCCGCTGATAAGGAAAACGCATAGAGCGCGATCGAACGGCGAGTGCAAAGATCGCGACAAACTGATCCATTCAGCGCTCGACCGACTGACTGTCTAACAGATTAGCGACTAGAAATTATATCAACTAAACATATGCAGGTAAATTAGCCTTGATTCATTGATGACTTATGACTTAATATTTTCTTTCCGAGCTTACACACTTCAAGTGAAATAAAACTGTCGAAGAGCTAACAGTACGAAAGGAGTTCCACCTGTGGCAGGCAATTCAAATTATATTTATAAATGTGTATATTTTGTATCAATAATATTTATATTACTTATTAGAGCACTTGTTTGTATTCACTTGGACAAGCACACATACACTCGAAGATGAAGCGGGATCCTTGTGGACCTTCTGCTTCAGATCAAACAAGTTTGTTGCTATTATTCTTTCGTTCGCGTTATTTAGCCGGAATAACGAAATACACGTCCGTTCACGACGAAAGGTTCTCGCGGTTTGATTGGAGAGATTCAAACATAAACAGAGCCAACGTTTCAATAGCTGCACAGCTGTGCCCAGCAGAGAGCGGGTGAAAAAGAGAGGGAGATAGAACAACAGGGATAACGCGCATGTGCCGAAACAATTGCTAACAGCTGCTTTGATTAACAGTCGAAACAGTTTGAATTCAAATTAAGTTGTCAGAACCCTAACAAAGTTTAGTACATTTATTTATAGTTAGTTAAATATTATTTATTAAATATATATTTATATATTAAAATATTAAGCCATCAGAAGATAAATTAATCAATGTAAGCCGAAATCTTCGAAAATATACCATAAAAAATATATCAGAAAACGTAAAATAACTATTTACAGGGAAGCAGCAATTATTAATTTAAAAAAAAATTTAAATAATCCAAACCGTAATTGGCATTGTTAAAAAATATTTAAAACTGAACGATTCAAATAAAAACATCGTCGATAGTTTCTATAATGCGACATTGTTTTAACTCAATTCATCGATTGTAAATATATCGATATAATGAAATAGGATAATAAGAACGGCGTTACATATTAATATTATTGCCTTCGAAGTGCTAATTTTGGAACAGTTTTTAAGAGGAAATTTTTACACGTAGAAATGACGCAAAGTTGTGAAACAACGAACTGTAACAAAGAGGCAACTCTCCAGTGCCCCACTTGCATTAAATTGGGAATCAAAGGCTCATTTTTCTGCTCTCAGGCATGCTTCAAAGGTTTCTGGAAAGAGCACAAGGTGATCCACGCCTTAGCTGGTATGTTGACTTCATAATAAATTACTTGTAATATCTTATTTAATAAAATGGGAAATGTTATTTTAGCCGGTGGGGAGAAGCCTGTTTTTGATAATGGTGTCTATAATCCGTGGCCGCACTTCCGTTTCACCGGCAAACTGCGCCCATTTGCGCAGACTCCCAAACGCGCTGTTCCAGAATCAATCGCTCGCCCAGATTACGCCGATCATCCGGCAGGACGATCTTTATCTGAAGAAGCTTTGCGTGGAACTACAATTAAAGTGCTCGACGATGATGAAATTGAGGCAATGCGAGTGGCTGGAAGGCTGGGCCGGGAGTGCCTTGATGAAGGCGCCAAAGCCGTAGAAGTAGGCGTCACGACTGATGAATTAGATCGCCTGGTGCACGAGGCAGCCATCGAGCGTGACTGCTACCCTTCCCCGCTCAACTACTACAACTTCCCAAAATCTTGCTGCACTAGCGTTAACGAGGTCATTTGCCACGGCATACCGGACAAGCGGCCCTTGGAGAATGGCGATATATGTAACATCGATGTGACTGTCTATCATCACGGGTTTCATGGTGATCTCAACGAGACTTTTTTCGTTGGTGACGTTTCGGAGAAACACAAGAAACTAGTCCGCATTACGTATGAATCGCTGAGTAAAGCTATTGAAATGGTGCGTCCTGGCGTGAAGTATCGTGAGATAGGTAATGTCATCCAGAAGTACGTGGCGCCTCATGGCTTTAGTGTCGTTCGGAGTTATTGTGGTCATGGTATTCATCGTGTCTTTCACACTGCACCCAATGTGCCGCATTATGCCAGTAAGTGAGATAGTCCTTCTGTGCACTCTAAATGCTTTACTTATGTTTTGATTCCACAGAGAATTCTGCCGTTGGGGTAATGGCCGCTGGGCATTGCTTTACAATTGAGCCAATGATTTCCGAGGGTGTTCAGAAGGCAGAATCTTGGCCAGATGACTGGACTGCCGTCACTGGAGATGGCCTCTACTCGGCACAGTTTGAACAAACTCTGCTGGTCACCAATAATGGTTGTGAGATCCTTACTAAACGACGTGAAAACAACGGCCAGCCATGGTTCATGGACAAGATGTAGTTCTTGAAACGGCTGTTCTTTCTTAAATTGAGCTTTAATTTATTTTTATAATAAAATATAAAGTTTGTCGTTCAAATTCTGTATATATTAGTTAATTGTCTTCAGGTGCAGCGCGAAATTGATTTACTTCTCAAGAGGTGCATAATTAAGAAGCTTCTCAATTAGATCCACGTGTCCAAGCAGCATTCGACGACAACAGTAACGCTTTAATCCTAAAGCATCCAAAGCGTCACTAAGGAATAATTATATCCAGTTAAAATGTTGAAAATAAAATGCAGCCTTACCCTTCCGTGTACTCGGCCTGCAGCAAGCCAAGGTAGGATTCCCATTTGTTACCAATTACCTTTCCGCAGGTAAAACACCGGATTGGTATTATCATATTGATACAATTTAATTATATTTGTCTTATAACAATTTATTTCGTTTGTTCTTTGCGCACACTTTTATGTTTCGCTTCTATTTGTTATTAGGACTGCCAACTTATTTCAAATGATTGTAAGATTTCGATAGTTAATGAGCACATGGCCTGAATATCGATATTGAGCAGTGTGACCCATTTGGAAGTACGCGCGTTAGTTTTAAATATTGATATCAGCTCGAAACATTATGTTCAATTTAAAAATTAGTTTGTAATATAAACAATTAGAAACTACTAAAAACTATAGTATAACAACGGAAAATACCTAAAGTTACTTACCACCAGAATTACCAACTTACTTCATACAATCGCAAAGCACCGATTGATATTGAGCATATGTGTTACTCATCCATATTAGATTGTGTCACCCATTAAGGAAAGTGCGCGGTTTTTTAAAATATTAATACATTTATTTATTACACTATCGACTCTTGCTATATGATTAAATTTACAAATGTGTTTGTAAAATAAATATTTGAAGACCGCTAAGAACTACGTCCATAACAAAAACAGATTCCTATTCGCTGTCGGCATCTGTTTGACTGCCCGACACTTCCACTGAAGTTGAAACGGGAAAGAAATCCTTTGTCGCATCGTTAACATCCAGCGTAGAGACATCCTCAAAAGTGCCCTTCTTTAAATTATCTGAACGTTTTTGTAGACGCTGCTGTAAGTATTGACGATTTAAAAAAGAACAAGGATGCATTACAATTTGTTTGCTTACCGTTTCGGATGTTTCTTCATCTGGAACAAAAATGCGTAATGGCGTATTACTGCCAAGTTGCTGCTGGACCAAACGCTGATGCTCTTCGAAAGCCGCGGCAGCTGCATCTGTGGGTTGATGCTGCTGTTGTTGCTGCTGAATTTGCTGTTGCTGCTGTTGTTGTTGCTGTTGCTGCTGTTGCAGTTGCTGCTGTTGCAGTTGCTGCTGTTGCAGTTGGTGTATTTGTAGTTGCTGCTGATGTTGTTGCTGCTGCAAGTGTTGCTCCTGCGCCTGTGCCTTTAGCTCTTCCAACTGCAGCTCCTGTTGATATTGCTGCTGCTGCTGTAGTTCTTGCTGGTATTGCTGCTGTTGTTGCAATTGAGCATGTGCTTGGGCCTGCGCATGCAACTCTTCTAATTGAAGTTGTTGCTGCTGTTGTTTCTGAAGCTCCAATGCAGCCTGCTCAGTTTCCAGCTGCTGTCGTCGGGCCTCCTCTTCAGCATAAGCTTGGAGCAGCTGCGAAGAGTCGTGAGAATTTCCATAGTAGTTGGACACCACAAATCCGCCCTCCGGAGCCGTTGAGCCAACCGCTGCGGCGACATTGGCCAAGTGGAACGGAGCCGTGTCGTACACAGGCTCCGCGGGCTCACTGAGGGCAGGAGCAGCAATCAATGCGGCATATTGTGGAGCCGAATCCAACACCGGATGGATATTATGCTGCGGATCCTTGGCGGCCTGCAGAATTTGGCCATTGCTGGCCACCTCCTGCGTCAGATCTGCGTTTACATAACCTGTCTCAACCACGTGCTCCACGCTGGGCTTGAAGAGCTGCTGCTTGTGTTGGCTGTAAAGCTGATTGGACTGGGTGACCAAATAAGTGGGGTTGTAGATGGGTATATGGGCGGCAGGCAGAGCGGCGGCTATGAAGGGCTGTGTCGTCTGCTGCTGCGCGAACTGTATGGGATATATGGGTACTGTCTGGGCTGCTGCTTGGGCACCCACAATCTGAACCAAAGGTTGCGCCGGCAGATGATTGCTTTGCACATCCGATGGCAGCGGCTGGTTGTTGCTCGGCGTGTTGAAACTTTCCGTGGCGATCTTCACCTTGGTTGTGGGCAACGATGGATCGGGATCTGGGGCAAAGAGTTTCTGCGAACCCGAAATGGGATCGCGAATCGTTTGATCATTGGTCTCATCCTCATGCACGCTGTAGTAGCTGCTCGCAGCTGCGGGCGGCACATACGTTTGGGTCTGTGGACGTTGAGTGCTCAAGTGTTGTTGTTGTTGTGGGGGCAGGTATGCAGTGTTTAAGCCATCGTCGATCTGATTGTCATGATCGTGGTGCAGGGCCAGATTGGGAGCTGGTACCGTGTAAATTGGTGCAAAGTGCTCGGTGTTGTAATTGTTGTGTGTGTCCAGCTGTGGGTACATGTGTATGCGTATAAGGATATCTGACTACGTGCGCGTGTGTGTGCATGTGCGTGTGCTTAGAATCCTGTCCATTTCTGATGGTACTTACCGGCAAATTCTGCAGTTCGCTGTAGGCAATTGCTGTGGGTTTCTCATACTTGAAGGGCTTCTCATATCCAAACGTAGGCTTTGAGTGTGGCTTCGAGTTGCTCAATTTAATCTTCAACGGCTTTCGCAGACTGCCTGACGGCTTCAGATAGACTGGGGCGCTAAGCTTCAGTGGTCGAGAGCCGCGCAAATGTTGAGGCGGCGCTCCATGCAGCAGGTGTGTGTGCGCGTGAGAGTGGGCGTGCCCGTGCAGGTGTGCGTGGGAGTGTGGGTGCGAGTGCGAAGCGAGATGCTGATGAGCGTGGGTGTGAGCACCGGGACGACCTTTCAGCACCAATGGCACCGGCTGATCACTGCGAATCTGAACGACCAATGTGCGCTGCTTGCCGTTGGAAGAGGCAGCTGATGGGGCGCCAATTGGTAGTCGAGCCAGTTGCTTGGCGCTCTTGGGAGGCCAATTGTTATTGCTGAAGATCAACGGACGCTTGCCGACAGGCAGATCACAGCTGACCAGGCCGAATAGTAGCGTCAAGAGTATGAAATGCTAAAGCAATAAAAACGTTAAAAATTAACACGAAAATCCATTAAACGAAATTTAATTATCTCTTGCCAGTACGTACTTAACGAATATACATATACAACTTTCTAAGCTCTATCAGCAGGCAGCGGATAAACAAAGGGGGGTCAGTCTGGGATGTAATCAACGGACGGTCGGAGAACCGAAAATAATGGCCTTAATTTGTATAAATTGGCGGTTTTCTAAAATTTTATCACGTCGCCTGCCGCTAGCTACTTATGCTTAAGGCAATCATAAACCTTTAAGTATATATACAAACATATATATGTACGTGTAAGCATGTAAGCCATAACTGTAGGCACGGGCGTGCAGCTGTCGCGTCTAATTAAGACTGTGGGCCAATGAAAGTGAAATACCAAATTGATTTGGTTCTGTTACAAACATGACCGAAGCCGCTGGTGTTGTTGCTTGGTTAAGCCACAAGTGAAGTGGAAGTCGACGATTTGTCGGTGTAATTGTTACAGCAACAAAATTTCACTTGTCTACCGGAGAGACACTGGCAATGACAATGTTTTACCGTTAGTCCGGTCAGTCAATCAAGCGCTGCTTACAGGTGAAACTGTCAGCGTACAGCGTACTGCACTATGGTTATTGATTACGTGCTGCGTTTGCCTAATCAAAATGGCAGACGTAATTGAGACTAAATTGCTGCCTGGGTCTTTATCAAGCGGTCAGTAATTTGATATTGCTTTGTCGCCTGTAAAAAATATGCATAATAATAGTTGACGTCTATCGGGAGCACTGACTGGTGAATGAACTTGAGGCTCGTTGCATGAAAGTCAAAGTACCAACGAAATGGGTATTATTTTACGTTATTGAAATAGGATCTACTATAACGTACTATGACGGACCGCGCTCACAAATTACATATCACAAATCAAATACCAAATTAGCCGATACCACTAAAACAACCGCAAGCTAACCCAATTCGCAACGCATCTGGCCAACCTGAAAGTCAACATTGAGCTAACTGTTTCATCTTCTTCGCCGTGTTGCACATTGAGGCAGAGTCAATGGCAATAGCCAAGCAACTGTAGCGAACGGCCCATTGTTTAGTTGCCTGCGGCGAAAACTTGACGCATCAAGTGCTCTCAATTGCTATAGCCATAGCAATTGCAATTGCAGCTACTGCACCGCAAATGAAAGTGCCCGCCAATCGCAATTTAACAAGTATTCAAAGCACGAGCTGCCACTGCCACAGCCACGGCGCATCAATTGCAATTCAATTGAAATTAAAAATGAATGGCGCCATTGTCTTTAGTTTTCAATTGAGTTTCAAAAAGAAACCGAATGCAGCTGAGCTCGAGGCGTCTATAGAAATTATGGATTTGCATAAATGTGTTTCCCACCATTTAATGATCGATAATTGAAGCTCATAAACCCGCGTGAGATTCCTACTTACCTTCATATTTGCAGCGATTGTAATTTCTTTCGCAGATGCAGAGCGTATTCAGTGTGTAGAAGAAGGAAAGCTTTGGCTTGCAGCTGAGTGTGAGTGAGTGAGTGGCAACTGAATGTGCTGGGATTTGTTTTATTCCAGCAACAAATAGATGAAGATCAGAATGGCAATTAAGTAAATAATAACATCAATTAACTTCATGTCCACGTGCGCCGCGGCGCTTTCCTTTAATACGAGAAATACGAACAACACACAAAATGCTAACCGGAGCTGCAAAGTCTGCAAGTCTGCACCTGTTCAGGTCGCGTTAACAACTGAGCAACGCAGCTACTCCAACCGACTTTGATAGCTACTTTTGTCAGCCATTGGAAGTACACGTATCATCGCTCACTGGAAGCCAATGAAACCACAAAGAAAGTGGTCGGCTTTTCTTCGTCTGTGCTGGCCGATTCGTTGAAAACTTGTTCAATGCTCAAGTGAGACTTAGCACGCGACCACAACGACATGGGCATTGCCGGCATGTGCGCTGTCTTCTTCGTCTTCTTCTCCTTCTGCTTCATCTTCTGCCAGACATACACGCACAGCTTAAACGAAAGTGTTTGCCAGTTCTTGGCCAGTTGCCAGTTCAGCCTGGGCAAACAAAAGACTTGGGCAACGAACTTGTCTTGCTAATATTCACTCATCCAATGCCTTAAAAAGCAATACACACCAGGCGCTCATGATATCGAACTGAGCTCTTTGTGCATTGGCGCCTCTTGCTCTCTGGTGCAAGAACACAAAACCTTTAAAGCGTCTCAAGCTTTAACTAAGCGACATGTGTGCCATCAAGAATTATTCTATCTTTTATAAGAGATTCTCTTGCAACTGACGGTAACTTTATTATTAATTGTAAAATGCCTCGGATAATTTAACAGGCTGTGCTCCTTTTTGTTGAAAAACAGTAATAAAAGCCTTCACTACACCGATTCACTTAGTCAACTGGCTTTCTTATTACTCTAAATAAAATCAACAAATAGATAAACAGAGCAGAAAGCTTTCTTAACAGAGAGAAGAAGCAATGACAGAATCTTAAAATAAACGAATGTTTGATTTCTTTCTAAAGTCTCTAGCTTTTACTATCTCTCTATTCTTCTGTCCCATTTCTCATCTAACCTAATATATATTTCTCGAAAAGTGTACAAAAATAACAGAAACTTCATTTTATATGTGCATATCTCATTCTGCTCAATATCTGCAAAACAAAACTAGGGTAGGGTAAAACATCTACATAGAATGTAAACAGGCAGTCTGTAAAGGTCTTTTAAGAATCTCCCTTTCTATGCCTCACTATAAATTATATTAGGAGGAGCTGTAATCATTGAGATCTCAAGGCAAGGAGTTGCATCGATATGATGTCCAGGAGATTAGACTAAAGTTTGCTGATAATAGAGTTTTTTGGCTCTCCAAATAACTCAACAGAAAAGCTGCTTCCTTGATATTTGATGTATGTATGTATTGCGCTATTAAAATTGATGTATTAATTTATAAATATTTGCCTCATTTCATTTGCCATTCGTATTGAAGTCAAGGAATGTGAACCGATTGTGCTCAGCGCTTCAGCATAAGTTAACTATACCTACTATATGCTAATCAGCTATAGATCTCCGATTATACAATACTAATGTGTACGGCAGGCTGTTATAAAAAGCTTATGAAACGCTTACGATCAAGTGGACTTGTTAATTGGGTGCGTTTTATGCGAGGCGTGACTGCAAATTTCTAAACGCAATTGGTCGATGGAATTTCTGTGGCCCGGGCCGGGCCGCCTTATGTGGGTCAATTTTTGGGCTGTTCGAACCGTTGGCCATGCCCTAACTCAAGATTTCACTTTTAACAAGGAAAAGTCTGGGCGCAGGCCGTAAATTGAAATTTTGTATTCGTATTTTTTTTATTTTGAAATATTATTTTAACAAGGTTTTTTTAAACATTAACAACATAATATTATTATTATTATAGCGTTTATTTAATTACAGTTATCTGTTGTTCTTTACTTGCATTATATTAATTAGTATTATATTATTTTTCATAGACAATTGTTTAAAATACGAATTTTAAGGTGTTTGTTTTATATTATTATTATTATTTAAAATTTCGCTTTTTCTTCAAAATTTTGTGTTTCACTTTTAAACAAAAACAATGTGTTTGTTGTTTTTTGTTTTCATTATCAAGCGGTCGCTGATCTCGATCTATTAGTTTTATGTAAATAAATTTGTTTATCAGCAGTTTAATTATAATCTTATGACAAACTTTTAGAATTTTATTTGTAAATATATTTTATAAATCGCGGGTAAAAACTAAAAAGCTTAATTACAGTTACGTCGACTATATGATGTTAGTTTTTATTTTTTAATTTTTGTTTTTTAATTATTTATACATTTTTAATGCACATAGTACTAAAATAATTTGTATGCATGTGCAGTATATAACTATATATATATATATATATATATATATGTATGTATATATATATATATATATATATATATTTATATATATGTATGTATATAAATATATATACACATATGCACGCATATATATCTATATATATATATATATGGTAGTTGTGAAAGTGCTACGAAATTATACAATAATTTTGTTTTCAATTTCGGCTTTTATAAATTTAATAACGTATTTTTTCGTTTTTGTTTTTAGTATGCAATAATTACAAAATAACATTTGTTTGTTGCCCAAACATTTAAAATTATCATTTGTGTTTTGTTTTTTAGCTGCAAACGTTGTTTCCTATACAAAGTATCTAACTACTGTAAAATGCTTTACATTTACGAATATTGTATATATATACATATATATATATGCTTTTACATTTTACTCACGAAATTTTTCTACAAAACGTTGCATTTGTGTCTAGTTGTATGGCATTGAGTATTTCTAGGCGATATACAATATTATCATTATTTTGTATTTTATTTTATATTATTTGATTTTTTTGTTTTGAACAAAGCTGAGACGCTGGCGGCTTCGATCTTAGCATTTATGGATTCTGAGTTCAAATGCGGTCAAATGAAATAGTAATGTATAGAATGACGCTGTATTTGTTTATGAAATCAGGCAATTCGTATATAGCAAATGCCGAACGCAGCTTTGTTCAAATTTTAAAGAGATTTTTCGATTTATATTTCAAAAGCTATTTGTGGATAGTTCTCGTTTTGCATTTTGTATATCATTTGATTTTTTTGGTTTTTTTTGGGTTTTCATAATTTTATTTAGCGTAAACATGATTTAATCAAGTCTCACAACATCGAGAGTTCGTTTTGTTGTTCTTGTCAATGGGTTTCGCTGTTGTGATGTATCTGTATGTGCGTGTGGTCTGTTTGTCTGTGTGTACGTGTGTGTCTATGTGTGAGTGTGAGTATTTATAATTCTAAAATTTGTATAAACTATGTTATTCATTTAAAAATTATGTTTAACTTTTGGGTTTACTCTATGCCTGTTATAAGGATTGCAAATGCTTTTTTCTTCTCATCTATATTAATTTAATTTTTAATAGCCCTAACAATAAATGAACTTGCTGCCGTATCATATTTTTTTCTTTTTTTGTATTTTTTATTCTTTTTTATTCACACTACATACATACATACGTACGTACATGCTGTATATATGTTAAATGTTACTTTGAAGGCGCATACTTAATATTCACAATGTTCAATTTTTCGTTTCATTTGTTGTCTAAACCTAAGGCTACGTGTATATTATAAAAACAAACACAACGAACAAAAAGTCAATCTTAGTCATAGTTTTTGTCTTTATTATTAATTTCTTTTTCTTGTTTTCTGTTTTGTTTTATTATTAAAAGCTCGAATTCGATTAACTTTTACATTTCAATAAGCTAAATTGATGTTATTGAAAATCATATCTGAATAATCGTGTGCTATTTTGCTTCTGCTTACTCGTATGTATTACGATTCCGAATGAGAACTGAGTGAACTATCTGCACTTTGTGTTTTAGTTAGAGTACATTTAATGTGATTTCTATACGCTTTGGCAGTGTTTAATATTTGAACAAATCCATGTACCGAAAACTATTTTGAACCTTAATGCAATGCAAATATTTAAAAATCAAATGATTTAACGACCTTTATACATTATCCGAGTTACGTAGTCAGCTATTTACAAGTATTTACAAAAGAAATGAAAAACACAAGAACCCACACAGAGCATTTTATTAGCGGCTTAAGCGCAAGCGCGTGAAAATCTAAAGAAGAGCTTGAGTGAGACAAGTCAAAGAAAGAGTAAGAAAGTGAGGACTAAAAGTTCATCTTTCGGTCAACATTCGTATTATTTATCTAAAAAAATTTGTTTAGAACACCACAGCTGCAAATCGCAATAGGCACGCACGTAAAAAGCGCCACACACACATCATACACACAATAAAAATATTACTAGCTAAATTTTTGTCAACTGCTCGCTATACTCGTATTTGCATGGAGAGCTCTATGGATAGATCTGTCTATCTATGCTCGTCTGTACTATATCATCAGCTACATTCATATGCATGTATGTATGTGTTTCTACTGATTAATTATGATTCCAAATGCGCTACTTAAATTTAATATATATGTTTAAGTGTTCTGCTTTATGGTTCACAAAGAAGTTTCTGTCGAATGGCCTTGAAGTAGAGTTAGGAAATACTTATGTATCGAATATATCATATATATATATGTATTTGTACATATGCTGAACCTTGAAGAAACGGAAATATCTAGTGGTTTGTAACGGCATGGGCATGCATGTATACATATATGATATACATACACCCATGCACCTATGTGAACTTGACTCTAATGACTTGACTTTAAGTATGCAATAAGTATCTGTTACTGAAACAACCATTGTTTGTTTGTTTGTTTGTTTTGTTTTCTCTTGCTGGCTAAGCTTTGTTATATAAAAATTTCGAATATTAGTCTATCCGTACTATTTTTGTTTTTACACTTCCCCTAGATACTCAATATGTATGTGATTGTGGGTTTTAGGTTTAATTGTTTAGGTTTCAATTAAATATCGCAAGGAATTTCTTGTGTGTTTATTTTTGTTTTTTGCGAACTTTATAGTTAAATTATTAATAATACGTTCATATAAATCGTTTTTTTTTGCGCATGCTCAGAAACATCTAAATGCAGTTTTTGAACTTGAATGACTCAACTTTTGGATTTGGTTTGCACTCCATTTAGCGGTCAAGCGATTTCTCGAATATCTTCTTCAGTTTTTCAGATAGTTTTCCTTCTTGTTTTTCTTTGGTATGTGCATGTCTAGCATAGATATACATAAGCTTATTGTAGCGTAGTTCTCGTTGCTGCTGCTGCTGCTGCTGCTGCTGCTTAGCCAAAAGCTTTTAGCTCTGCTTATGCTGGCTTATATGTACGTATGTAAGTATTTGGTATCTTTAGGCATTATCAAAATGCATAAAAACACATGTAAGTGTACTCAGACTGAACAGAGCTATTGGCATATATATGCACTACGCATATATATGCAATGACAATTTGCATTTTCTGCATATTCCCTCCAGTTAAGAGTTGTGAAGTTGATATTTTGCTTGGTTTTCTTTGTTTAATGTGTAGCTTACCTCACTAATGGTTCCCAATTGCTTACGTCACACCATTGAGATGAATTTTCATATCGAATTGTTTTGTATTGCGATGATAGCGCCATGAACTGAACTCAAAATGTGAATTAGATTTAAATCAATGATAACAATAATAACAATGATAATAATTGGCTAATGAAATTAATTTCTATAATGGCAATGCTTATGATAGAGTACATACCCATTGCTTAACAGTAACTAATGATTGTTGCTTCAAACTCAAGACTAAAAATGTATACAGAGACAATTTATTGGAAACAGATTGAAAATATTACAAAATAATAATATAGAAAAATGAAACAAAAACAAAAACCAAAGCGAACTAACAATAGTTAAAAAGAAAATACAATAAATTGGGATAGATATACGTAAAGATACAAAATTATAGGTAAAATGTCAATTTCAAGGTTCTAAAAGGCATACGGAATGGTGTGGGAAGCAATCAGCTGACAATTGAACGATGGATATCAAAGATGTTGTTCTTTCTTTAATACATTTGTGGCTTTTATGTTTGTAGAGACATCTTACGTTGCCGCGAACTTCCGACCCACTCTGCTGGTCGACCCTGTGGTTACGTGGTTATCCTTGATCGTTAAACAGGATGGACTAATCACTCTGTTACGGTGTCTCTACAAATATAAAAGCACAGAGTAACGCATTTATGGCACGCATTTTCAAATTTTTACCTAACTTACGCCGATTGGCCTAACTTTTGATTTAGTTACATTTTTCATAGGTACACAGTATTTACACAGGTGTACACGGGTGGTACACAGTAGGTGTGCGTAAGTTGTATATTGTTAGAGTTTATACATATTATACCTATTGCCTATGCCTATACTTGAATGCGCTTATTGCGCCGCTTGAGCCAAATCTTGTGCCAATATGTTTGCCATAAATGCGCTGCTCTGTACACAATTAACTTCTCCATCGTTCAAATGTACGAATAAGGACCATCAGTTAAGGCGCTACACAGTAACAATCAAGAGTTATCATCCTTGTTGGAGCCGCCCCCACCGACCCCGGAGCCTTGTGTGTTGGTGCCGCGACCGCCAGCGGGCGCACGCACTGCGGGCGGCTTGTACTCCAAGCCCGGATCGAATTGCATTAAAACGAATACCTGTCGCAATGAAATGTGATAATTGAGTCTCAATTGCTTGCTTCTTAAATGATAACTAAGCTCACCTGATCTGTTGGCAGTAATGAGAAGTCATCGGGTGGGTTGGTTATGACATAACGCTTGCTGCTCGCATCACAGCTAGAACTGGTGTCCCTAAACCGATACAGTCCTATGCACAGCATCCCATACGACTTGAGTGCGGCGACGAACAAGTCGCCATACTTTCCGCATTCGCCGAACTGCGCCAACGGCCCATCATACAACGAAATTTGTCCCACGCGACATCTGCATATTACCAGAGGTATTGAGGTAGATAGATAGTAGATTGCATATTCAGACCCACCTGTCGCGATTGCTCAGACTGTCGATGGTACTATAGCCGCCCCGCAAGCCAGCGCCCTCCGCCAGAATCAATTCCAATTCGGGTGTGGCGCCGCCCGTGATCAGCGATCGGATTAGTGTTAAGGCATTTTGATTGAAGTATGTCTGCGATGTAGGAAAGACAAAACAGGCAAAGAGAGAGAGAGAGAGAGAGAGAGAGAGAGAAGAGAAAAAGCAAAGTGATGATGGGTGGCTGCTCATTGATTGGGTCTGTGAAACTGGACTTTACCGTGGACATCAGCGAGTCTAACACACTCACAGCGAACGCAGTGCCGCAGGCGAACGGCTGCGTTAGATATAGTTCTGTATCTGGATCATCATCGTCGTCTTGATCGAGAAACTGCACGTTACTATCATTGACCAGTTCTTTAAACGACAACCAACAATAAAACACAGTGTCCATTAGTAAAGCGCCTCTTTAACATTTGCTTGACGGTGTATGGAGGCTGACCGTGGCCCCTCATCATTTTCCCACTTCCCCATTTAGCCCTGCCACTGCCTGGTCAGCCTCGCATACACCGTTCGAGGCAGGACGCTTTTCGTTCGGTCGTTCATAAACTCGGCCAACTTAGTGCGATGCAGTTTACCTGTTATCATGGGCACATTGGCGCCATAAACTGAGCCGCGACGCTGCAGCACAATTGGGCTGCCAGCGGTCGCGCTCAGATTGTCGAACTCCGGTCCGCGTTGGCTCAGCACGCCAATGGTGTCGTCAAAGGTCATTGCCTTGATGTTGAGCGAGGCTAGAATGGCCTCCTTGTCGGCCAGTGTTGGATCGTCGTTACTAGGAACTTTTGCAGACAATATGCAGCACATATCACACAGGTTGACGTTGACCGCCCGCAGATCGGCTCGACTCAGCGGCGATCCGTTAAGCACCGAAATCTTAGGCAGATTCTGTAGCATTTTCCACTCGCGTCGTATATAATCGACGGAGCCCACAATTACCACATGCTTCAGCTCGTGGTAATGAAAATTAGATGCACGCAGCGGCATTACCAGATTTCTTAACCCAATTAGAGGTGAATCCGGATCGGCGAACAGGCAAACGACCACATGACCATTTAGCACCGTCATGGCCGCCTGATTGCGATCCTGGAAAATGAAATTTGGATGATGAAATCTCAGTTGGAAGTTCCTTTCGGATTTCACAAAGGCTTTTACCAGTATGCAGTCTTCTAAGCTCTTCGCCGGACTCCAATGAAACATGCCCGTCGAGTCGTACTTCATTTCGGTCTTTTCAAAATCAAAGTCCTTGGACTGATCGTCCGCAATGCCTGCGGGCAAGGAGACGCCGCCGTTTTGATTCTGTGTGCCGGTGCCGGAGCTTCGACTCGTTGGCCTAGAGGCAAGCAAATCAGTGAACGGTATTAGCTTAATGGGTCAAGTCTTTTGGTTAGTTTTTTTTTGGGAATTTCTTATCAATTTCGTGGCATATCAGATTATGAACCAATCAAAATAAACGCTACATCCAAATGCAAAGTGTTGTTCGTAACGCTACGAGTACGATTTTCGTTCAAAAAATGAAAATAATATAAATACTTGAATACGAGTAGTTGGAGCTTTTTAAATTTTAAAAAGTGTCTGATACGATAGATAGCTAGAGATATATATATAAATTTGTATGTATGTTGATAGAGAAGAGGAAGAGCTTGTGCTAATAACAACAGTTGCGAAAATACGAGTATCAAAACACAAATGAGAAACCAATATACTTTTGTAGAATATGTTTAAAAATCAATGTTCAACTACGCAAAACATTGTCGCAATGGCCCGGCGATGGCGGCAGACTTGTCAATCAAATCGACTGCGGCCGCCCTCGGGTGTGTTACGTAAATAATAGCGAGTGGCAAGTGTGTGGGGCTCATGCACGAGGGACACGCCACATGCAACAGCTGCGGCCCTCGCCGAAGTGCCTGGCACAACACTCTAAATTTTTGTGCACAGTTCGTAGTCAGATTAAAATCAAAACAAAAGTGCTTAAGAAGTGAATGCATAACAGTATAGAGAAGATAGACAGAGATAGAGAGAGAGAGAAAGAGAGGGGGAGAGAGAGAGAGATAGAGAGAGATTCCGAAGTATATGTTTCAAACTGTTTCGATCTACGCTAGTCAGCAGGTACGTTGACTATATGCTTGATGCATCTGCATCATTGTATTACTTTGGAATTATAGATGCAAATGATGCCCTTTGGGTGTTGAGGACTGCACAAAAAAGCTTTAATAGATTGTTTTATAAACCATATTTACATATGTATCTATATATACATTGATATAGATCAAAATGGAGTACATTTGAATTGGACTTGGAGTCATGCGAGCTGCATTAGATATAAAGTCATTCAGTGTTCAGTTGATGACAGAATTGTTTTGATTCTGATGAGCTTATGAATGTAATTTGATGTACACGACACACACACATACACACATACACACATAGAGATATGCAATAATCAAAGCGATTCAAATGCAGCAAAGTTATTAACAATTTACAATTACGACACAAAAGTTCTTCAAGTATTATTGATTAGAGCTATGATTAGGAAATGAAAAATCGAACTGAGAGAGAGTTTTGAATACAGACAGGCGAAACAAAAGGATTATGCGAATTTACATATAGAGTAGTACTATGTTGTATGACTCGTTAAGTGCACACACACACACACGGACACACACACACACGCACATAAATACAAACATAAACAAATCAACGCACACAGACAGCAAATGTGATCAAAAAAATTACGCATACGCAAAGTTAAAGATTTGTATTTGGTATTGATGTATGGAATAGCTTTCAATCAATCAATCAATTAATGTGTGTTTAACAAAATGCGCATAGTTTGAATAAGTATTTACGAATACTAATTTATAGTAGTAGTAGTAGTAGTAGTAGTAGTTAAAAACGTTTTTGGCTTCTTATAATTTGATTTAAGTAAAAGTTTCTAGGAAATTATGGACGCATACATGAGCTTTTTAACTTCGTAAGCAAGTTGATAGCCCGCATAAGGGTTAGCATCATTTTCTGGTGGCCTGAAACAAAATGTTGTTTGTTTTTTATACATATAAATTTGTTGTTGTTGTTTTTTTGTTTTTGTCTTTTGGTTCATTTTTGTTTAGAGTTAGAGTTGTAAAGGTGTTGTTAGTGAAACAAGTTGTTAGGGTGTTAGGATTAATCTATGTATATATATAAAGAGTATTTAAGGAGCATTTACATATGTACGAGGCGAGACCCAGCGAAGGGTCATCGAACTGAGTGTTATTTATTTTGTTAGGTGTAGTAGAATAAAACAAATAATGATAAGGTGATCAAACTGAAGTCGTATGTTGAATGTTTTATTTTTCTTTCCTTGTTGTTCTTGTTGCAAAAAAAAGAGAAGGAAACGCAATAAATCAGAAGAAAGAATGCAGCTGAACAGCGAAGGCCATAAGTGTCTGCTCGATTACCGATTTGCTTTGCATATATATGTATAATACTTTGTAACTGAAGCCGAGTGCCCTCGCAATGTGTGTTTGAAGTGTAGTTGGTTCCGTGCTGCCCCGCCCAATGGAGTACATTGCATATATATATATAAATATTTAAATATATATATATATAAATTAATATGTTGCTGGTCCAGCGATGAACTAGGCGTCGGTGGCAGGTCCAGCGTTGATCGGGTATTTATAGTCTTAATCAATAAGTTGCTGGTCCAGCGATGAGCTAGGCGTCGGTGGCAGGTCCAGCGTTGGTCGGGTAATTATAATCTTCTTATGATGATTATGTTGGAGGGTTTGACTTCACCCCCTTTTCTATTAACTGGCCTTGTGGCTCAGCAATGATCAGAAATATAACAATTTGATTACGGCGGTGTGCCGGAGTAGTGCGGGTTTATTCTTCAAACTTCAATGCAAAACTGATTTTTAGCTACATAGAATATTTCACTTAAGCTAAGCCAAAACTCGCATCACACCACAATGTCATGGTCGGCAAGCCGACTCAGCAATCTTAGGCAATAACGGAAACTCTTGCAGTAAACAAAAGTATCTGGTTACCGCCGCTGACCATTGCAGTTATAGCGCGCTGATACAAAGTATGCAGTGTCGCAATTGCGAGGGCTGTTTCTTAACTTACGAAACACGCGATAGCGAGGGTTGGTTATAAACTTATGAAATACCCTATATTAAATGTTATGTGTTAACTACTCCCCCTTCAAGTGTAAGGCCGCCCTCGGCCGACCCAATTCCGGCGACGACTTCTCGTAATTGCTTCGCAGACTTCCTTGCGTCGATGAACCGCCAAAGGGTGAGGCCAATGCAGATTAAAGCACAGCATATACCTCCAATGATGAATGCCACACGATAAGCTTGATCAGTTCCGGCGTCTTTCTTGAATTGCTGTATCTCCTCCAAATTACGTTCATTTAAACGATGAAGATAAGGGAGGCTGAGGACATCTTGGCTGGCAGTGATGTTCAGCAAGGGAGAGTTGGCAATGCCCGGGACTCTATTGCGTACGTTGTTGTGGTTGTAAAACAGAGTCCCGTTGATCGCGACTCGGTCCCCGAACGTAATGAGATGCGTGCCGTGTACTTGGATTTCAGTGCCGTTATCCACCTGGATCCTTGCGGACCCGTCGTTAAGAATGATGATTCCATCATCTACGTGGGTGATTATTTCCAGGTTGCTCGGCTGGATTTCACAGTGTGCCGTGCCACCTGCATGGAGCTCTTTGGCACATGAACTCTCTAATGCCAGACGACAAAAGGTGGCTCCAGGTGAAGCGGTGCAACTCTGCAGTGTGTGGGTTTTTCCATCGCATTCGGCTATGACGTTGTCAGGCAATCGCAATATGAAATTCTGATTTAAATTCCAAAAAAAAAATTTTTTTTTTTTTTTTTTTTTTTTTTTTTTTTTTTTTTTTTTTTTTTTTTTTTTACGTTGGGCGCCAATTAATATGTTGCTGGTCCAGCGATGAACTAGGCGTCGGTGGCAGGTCCAGCGTTGATCGGGTATTTATAGTCTTAATCAATAAGTTGCTGGTCCAGCGATGAGCTAGGCGTCGGTGGCAGGTCCAGCGTTGGTCGGGTAATTATAATCTTCTTATGATGATTATGTTGGAGGGTTTGACTTCACCCCCTTTTCTATTAACTGGCCTTGTGGCTCAGCAATGATCAGAAATATAACAATTTGATTACGGCGGTGTGCCGGAGTAGTGCGGGTTTATTCTTCAAACTTCAATGCAAAACTGATTTTTAGCTACATAGAATATTTCACTTAAGCTAAGCCAAAACTCGCATCACACCACAATGTCATGGTCGGCAAGCCGACTCAGCAATCTTAGGCAATAACGGAAACTCTTGCAGTAAACAAAAGTATCTGGTTACCGCCGCTGACCATTGCAGTTATAGCGCGCTGATACAAAGTATGCAGTGTCGCAATTGCGAGGGCTGTTTCTTAACTTACGAAACACGCGATAGCGAGGGTTGGTTATAAACTTATGAAATACCCTATATTAAATGTTATGTGTTAACTTATATATACTGTGTTTGTATATGTGCTCGGATTATGCTAAAGGCTGCCTCAATTCCGGCCACTCACCTGTTGTACTGCGACGGCGATATAACCTGGCCCTCCACCTGGCGGCTTACGTTCACCGTGGGCTTTACCTTGTTCACCTGCTTGCCCGCTGCAGCAGCGGCCGCTGCAGCTGCGGCTGTATTGTTCATGTGATGCATGCCACCTGTGCCGTTGCCAGTTCCGTTCGGGCGTCGCACATTCCGATTGAGTACTGCAAAGACAGAGACAGAGGCAGAGACAGAGAAAGAGAGAGAGGGCAGAAAGAACAGATTAAGTTGAAGCTGAGTGCACCGACCATTGGGTTTTGCTAGGAGCGAGCTGCAGTAAATAGAGTCGAGCTAAATTCTATTTGACACTTACGATTCGTATCTTCTCTGTCACGTGTTATATCACCTGTCGCAGTGGCATTTCGCATTGGCAGTTTGTTAGGTTTTTGTGGGCGGCAACAGTAGCGCGTGTGAGTGAGAGAGAGAGAGAGAGACACAGAGAGTTTGTGTGAAAGAAAGAGAGAGAAAGGCAGTTTAGTATGATTAAAGGCTCTGATACGGCTGGCAGAGTGCAGAGGAAAATTTGATTGAGTCATTTATGATGCATTTCGGTCAAGTTAATCAAGAAAGGTATTTTTGAGCCGCGTGTACGTAGGTAAGCAAGTTAGATACTTTAGCTTGAGGTTTGTTGCTATATTTGATTAAGTCGTATATAGCTGTGATACGTGTGAGTGGAGTCAAGAAATAAATAGTGTATTTAACAAGCGAATAGTATGTATGCAAAACCAAACACAACACACACACACACACACAAATGTTTACAAAAATATAGTGAAATGCTTTAAATAAGTAGACATCAATATCGAATTTAAATAATTTTTAAGAACAAGCTTTTGGTACAATAGAGTTGGCAGTTTCTTGTAGTAGTTGCTGTATATAAACATTTACATTAATTGAAAACATTTTTTTTTTTTTCATTTTTACATTAGCAATAACAATTTCTGTTGAAAACGCAAAACATTGAAATGCTAACCAAAAATATAAAAACGAAACAAAAACAAAAACAAATAGCTAATTATAGAGTTGAATTACTTTCTTAAGTTCTTTTCAGTTTCTTATTTATATTTATTTTAGTTTTTTGCCCTGTTTGGGGATTGGGCGATTTTTTCATAGAGCACAAATGATAAGGCAATGATAAGGCAAATCAGGACATACGAAACAAAAATATATATAAATGAGATATATATGTGTGTGTGTGTAAAAAGTAAACTGTGGGACGATCTGTGAACAAAATAACCTTTCTCTTTCGTGTTCAGATGGACAGACTTATATAGGTATATCATATGTAAAACTGTTTGTGATTTTAGTTCTTATACAAGCTGATATTGAAGACATTACCCGATACAGATCCACGCACATGCACCCGTTTGGGTAGCTCTGGTGGCGTAAATGTGGGTGCAGGATGGTGTTCATCTGTAAGATATTTTTGGTATTGTTATCGCACAGCTTCAGGTAATCAAATTCGTTTTTTTATATTTGTAGTTGTTTTTTTTTTTTGTGTAAAAGACATTGCCTTTTTATGTGAAGCTTAAAATTTTGTTTTTTTTTTTTGCTGTTGTAGGACATCAAATTAGACTTTTGAGGGAATATTGTGTTTGTGTGAACTAAAATTGAAAGAGTTGCGGTTGTACATAAAGCAAGATCACAATATTTTCACAAATCATATGCAAATCAAACGGGCGCGACATTGGGTGTGTGTTCAACCGAAAGTCATAAAAGAAAAGTAAGGAAAATTGATCAAGATGATCTGGGGAATGAATTCAGGCTTCTTTTTATTTTCATTTTTGGAATAGGTACTAAAATATTATACATAATAATAAAGTTGAGTAAAAAGTGCATTTATAATCAAGGCCTTAAAACATGCGAGTAAACATAGAACTAAGAAACTGGAGGCATAATCAATAGACATGTGCACTACACTACGCATAGCAAAAAAAGCAGGCGTTGCATAGTTACAAGTACTTAAGATCTTAAGTGTTACTGTGGCTACAATGAAAGCATATGTTAAACCTTATTTTGATTCTCCATCGGTTGAATTTGACAAAGCATTTAGTTTGACTTTTATGCACTAGAAATCTAACACCCACTCAAAGAACGCTTTCAAGACTTTACTACCTGGAAGTCACACAACTATTGTCTGCACTAATTACACAGCATTTGGATATTGTTTAACACATTCTTAATGGCACTTGGCAGTTTGAGTGTGAAAGTATTAACAAGCTCGCTCCTTAACTGATTAAATTGTGCATTGGCGATTGGCGGTTGGCGATTGGCGATGGGCAGGGCAACTGATGATAATGATCAGCAGTGTTTAATGTTTGTTCTACAGTTGCTTGCTACGCTGTCTCAGTTTATTTCAGTGTAATCGAGACTAACTATTTAATACATAATTTGAATAGTTTTTACATTTTATGTGGAATTTGAAATTTCTTTAACAGAAGAAACTAGTTACAACACAAACAATACTCCAAAATGTTCGAAGAACGAAAGACTTAAATCATACATTAAGAAACGTGCACTGGCACACTAAAAAAACCAAAAACGAAAAGAAAATATATTTAAAAGTTCTAAATGTGAATCCTAATAAATGTTTATGACGAATTCAAATGTGGCTTTAAAACTTATTTTCGAGTATATGAGTTGAAAACTTGAATTAGTTAGACTTACTTGACAACGAGTATTCATCGTCTTCTACACACACACACAGACATATAAATACATAGTACGAGTATTGTAGTAGTAGTAGTAGTAGAAGTAGTAGTAGAAGTTGGTACGAACGAGTACAGATACGATTAGGGGAATATATAGAAGTATGATATGTATACATAAAAAAGAGCAAACCCCAGAGTCAGAAATTTATGTATTTCTTTAATATGTTTTGTACATAAAATGTATTCAAGTGTTGCAGTAGACATATAGTATGATAATGATAGATTGTGTGTACGGCGCCGATGTCAACAAATTGTAAAATCAAAACAAAAATATACATATAGATATACATATATAACATATATATAATTATTTATATATATATATACATATATATAAATAATGTCTTTATGTATAGATCTATACAGAAAGTTTGTACAAAATACGATATATGGATATTTAGAAATAAATGTTTAATGTTTACAAGATTTTAGTATGGAATACATACGAAGATTAAATTTACGAAATTTATGAATTATATTCATGTAATTATTGAATTTTTGTCTTTTTATCTAGCGACTTAACTACACACTCACACACACACTAAGTAGTTAAGGTAAAAATTGATTATGAAAAATACACAATTACGAGAACGAACGAGAAGAAACGATTAGAGGTGTATGTGTGTGTGTGTGTGTGTGTGTTACAGAGTGTGCTTTATACATCCGGTAGACATGTATTGAGTTGAGTGATATGTATTTTCAATATTGGGAAGAAGACTCGACTGTGGACTGTCTGCACTGCTGAGCATAGCAATTTGATGTAAGTTTAGTGAGCGTTTTCGATAAGAGAGGACTTTTTATTTGGTTAGTTTTTTAGTTGGATGTAACAAGTATATGTTGAGTGGCATATTATGTTGAGTCTTAATGTTCTTGTTTCTTTTTCATTAATTTGTTTCGTATGCTTGGGTTACAGTAGAGTAGAGACATGGAGAAGTTATATGTATGTATATAGAGATAGGTAAAGTAATAGAGAGATAGAGCGAGAGAGAGAGAGAGAGAGAGGAGAATAGGGAGAAAGTTATACGTACTTGCACGCCCAACCATTTGTACGGCTCGGACGCCTTTCCGGAAGGTGGCCACTGTTTTGTTTCATGAAAACAGAATTGTATAGGATATGTGTGAATAGGTAAATGATGGTAAGGTAATGATAGTTCGTTTGCTTATTCATTTGGAAATCATAAGTTAATAAATTTTATAAATAAAAACAAAAGTAAATCATTAAATAAAATAAATATGTAAAATAGATATATATATATATAAACATGTCACACTTCACACGTTTTCATTGAACTTTCATTAAATAGTATATGGTATGTAATTCATGATAGTAAGGTATGTATATAGATATCAGCTAGTTATGATTTTTTGATATGAATTTATGCGCGCGACGTTGTAGAATCAAACCAGAAATCGTTGCAAACTAATTAAACTCTATATTGAATGTTATATTTATACTGAGTATATACGATAGAGCGAAACAATAGAGCGACAGAAAGAACAACAAAATGTAATTTAGCACTCGCCAAACTGTCTGTAAGCATTCTGCTTGATTGACCCCTTCTAAGACAACCCCCAGCCAGTTAGGCGGCTCAGCTACTCGTCACTTACACTTTATGCACTGAGAATCCCTTCGAGTTAAGCAAGGCGAGGAGATATATTTGCGGGAGTTCGCATTCAGCAGCTGGGACTTTAGCACAAATACAATGATATAGCATTTACGTATACTATTGAAAAAGGGGTTTATTTTATTTATGCTGATTAATACTGGCAAATTTAAACGTTTTTTTTTATTAATCTGCAAGCGTGTTTATTTATCAAATGTTTTAAGGTTTCTCTTTAAGTTTGATAATTTGATAAATGTTTACTTCACAGTCAAAAGAATTCGATTGACCGAATGTAGAGTGCACTCTTCAAAATCACTTTTAGAAGTATTTTTAGTGGATATATAATATATATATTTTGAAGAGTGCTTTTCTAAATACGATTAGGTAGGCGGTTCAACACTTTAGCAGCAACAAATAAATCATTTTGGCTTTGTATGATATACAAATATAGGCACCAGAACTTGAAACTATTATTGGGACTTATTTTAGTTTTGGTTTTTCTTTTTGGTTTTTGTTTTTAACAATTTAAGCGTACCCTCCATTGTATTCATCACTGATGTGATCCCTTGGTTGACCATCCCTGTCTGCATCATAATCATGCCCACATCTGTAAGACGGTTACGGTTTTGATATTCTTATATACAAGTAAGAGGACCACATATCACATACACACACACGAATCTAACTATACTTAAGACTAGGCATTTTAATCATTAAACAGGTATACGAGTGTGTGAAGCATCACGTATTCCAGTTAAGTGCGATTAACTATGTTTTAAGCCAGACGCAGGCAACGCATAAACTGGAAACTTACTAACTACTTGAGAACATTGATGCTAGTTATAGATACATAATACGCATTTCCTTATGCATATATAAGTATATATATACTATGTATATATATACATATATAGAGGAAGAGAGCGAGAGAGAGAGAGATTTATATTCAGTATACTACATAGAAATATATTAAACTTTAATTTGAGTCACGTGACTCAGGTTAAGTGATGGAGCGCGCGCTTAATGGATATGCTAATGTCGTTCTTGTATCCGAGATACAAGTCTTTAATTAATTATTTACACTGTTGTTAATTGAAAAGGATATCTACGCTCATGTATTTATTTACAATTATATATTATATATAGATGGGTTATTGTTTCTGGGGGGTGGGGGAGGTTAGTGCCACGCCAAGTAGATAAGGAACTTAAAACTTAAACATAAATATTTATAGACTTCAAGTGGTGGCAGCATTTGGATAACTTATTGCTACTACATAGTAAAAAGGACTGTATTTGTATATAATTGAGTTGAAATTAGGTACATTTCGTTAGTAACGCAATTGTAAATCAGAGCTGCAAAGGTGAGTCAAAAATATTTATTTAAAAGTAGAGTTTCAAGGTTCTTGAATCAGTGACAGTGTAATATAAAGTCTTAATTAGTATTTGTGCTCGGTTTCATGCACTTTTTGAATTTGATTTCGTTTCATCAAACACATATATAAGGAAGGTAATAAAATCAAAATGAGGAGAGCAAAAGTTGACTTAAAGAGACAGCCAGAGAGAGAGAGAGAGAGAGGTAGAGAGAGAGAGAAAATGAGAGAGACAGCCAGGGATAAGGGCGAGAAATGTTAAAATATTAAATGTGCACTTCGAATATAGGTATCAAATATATACTTAGAGAAACTCTCGCCATCAAGTTGGATCTTTTACTAAAAGCATTTCGAGTTTTTCGTTCAACATAGTTTAAAAAATGCATAAAAATGCATGTTTATGCTTTCCATGCAGAAAAGAATATTATAATTGTTTTTAAGCAATGTATTCTGGCCGACGACTTGAAAGTCGAGCTCCAAAGCGGACCACAAATTAAAAGAAATTATATAGATATATATCTCTCAGATTTACTAGTCAAAATAAGTTGAAATGATTGCAGATCTGTGGCAGAGTACATGTTGGTAATAGTTAAATCCAAAAACATGGGTTGCATATTGCACAAACATATTTACAGCTGAGGGGAAGCCATCAGAAAACGTATGTATGTATATACTGGAGTGTAGGTGTGTAGTAGGAGTAGTCTGTGTGTATATATATATGTGGTGCATCCAATGCAGCTGGATGCACATTGTAGTGTGTTCGATTATATACGAGAAGAGGCGCATATCATTTGTAATTAAAGAAAACAAAGTGACCAAAAATTAACTGCACATATCCAAAGGTACGGGACGGGACGTTATTGTTCATTAAATGTATGTTAATGTTTGCGGTGAGTTTCTTGGAGAGGGACAAATCATGGCTGCACACTCTTAACGTGCTGAAACTAATTTTTGCACAGTTTACTATCCAAATAAATATTTCAAAAAAGTATGTCAAAAAATAGAACAAAAGTATTGAGTGTGTACCTGAAAAGGAGGAAGTGAGGTGCGCTAAATATGTATTAAGAATAATTAAGGATTTGAAAAAGAGGTTTTGAAAAAATGTATGTCAAAGATAGTTAGGATTTGGTTTTGTTATATTTTATATTGTTAACATATTTGTTGTATTTAACGTACAATACAAACAAAATGAAATTTGAAATTTGCGTACTTGAAACAAAGTTGAAATTTAGGGGTAAAACTTGGGTGGTTGTGGCATTGGTCATTTGTTGTATTGTAGAATTATGTTAGTGTTTGTGGGTAGGTTGATTTGATTTTTGGGATTAGCATTAACGTGTTGAACAATTTAGATTTACCTAAGTCGTCAAATTTGCTCCTCGGCTGAACAGTCACTGTGGGACAAAGTTATGACAGTTATTTGTATTATTATGTATTGCATTTCATTTGATATCTGCTCTTCGCATCGTATGTGCATATATTTGGCATATGCACACACACGCTTTATACGTACACACATACATACATATAGGGGTACGTATGTAAGTATGTTGACTTGATTTTGTTAGCTAGGGTTTGTGTCTATGTCGTTGCTGTTGTTGTTCGAAGGGCCCACAAACTGATATAGAATTGTGGTTTAAAAGATTTTATAATAAGATAGATCTTTTTTGGATAAAGTAGATAGTAGTTATACATAGATACCAGTACGTGCTGTGGGATCGATCATTAAGGTTCATCATATATTTAAATACATGTGTGTAAGATATAAATATTGAGAACGTGAATTTACTTCACACTGCTTAACTATAAAGTGAGCCTGAACCTAAGGAAAAAACTTAGAGCTATTTAATTTGCCTTTACTTAGAGTTTACTTTAATTTTAGCTGTTCACGCAGCTCTCGACAAAATTAGGTAAATAAATAAAAAAAAAGAAATACAAGAAGTAAATTGAAACAAATGAAACCCAAAGACATACATAGACATAAATACTGTCTTATCGAGTCAATAGAATGGTACAAAGGTATGCTTACAGTTTTTGCACTTGCACTTCTTGATGAGGGTCTCATCCTTGATGTCCTCGTGGCAAGCCTTGCAGTAGAACCACGCACTATAACCAGAGATCAATTGGCTGTAGAAGAAGCAGAGTGGACAGAGTATAGGATATGGGACTTACCGCTTGACCTCATCGGCGCTTTGTGCTATGAAAAAGCCCTGCGTGTTTGCCTGAATCTTGGCGCCACGCGGATTTATGGATATTTTACTGTCTGCACCCTCCTCGGCGCCTTTGATCTCGATAGCAAGCAGCAGCAGCTTGAGCTTGGAGAAACACAGTCTACAAGCAGCGGAAGAGACGGTTGAATTGTGTTATTCCAGGGCCGAGTCAAAGGAGTCAAATCGAACATTTAAGTATACTTAATTAAGCTTAGTAAATATCACTACACTATAGTGTGTAGCTAAACCTTATTGAACTGAGCATGCATTCTGTGTGTATGTGCGTTCAAAGCGTACACTGTAAAAATCTATTTGCACTTCATACGAAACCACATGCTAGACAAAATGCGTACAAAATTCGACAACAGAAAAAGTTGATTAAAAAGAGCTATAATTTAATATTTATATTAAATCGATATAATCCACTTGGTTGCTGTGCTTTTTGCGGGTATACAGCGCGTGGATGGAGCCGAGCTAAATGTGTTGCAAAAAGGAGAAAACGATATGCTCATGCCAAAAGGGGGAGTTTCGTGGATGGGTAATTGACAGTTGATAATTCATAATTGATAATTGATCTGGTGCCGTAAAGCTTGTATATTTTAGAGGTATTGAGATATGTACATATGTATTCATATGTATGTCATGTAGTATGTTGTATATGCGATTTGCTGGCATCTTATCGGTAATCGGGGCTTGAACGGGGACTAATCGGAGCGGAACGGAACGGAGCGGAGCGGAGATGGTAACAAGCGAGCGGTGTCTAGATAAATATGTTGCTCTAAACTTTTGTTCATACTTTGTGGCTGGTTACTATTTTATGCGAACGGATGCAATGCGGTTGTTAATCCAAAAACCAAATCATATATAAAATGTTAAATATACAAGAAGAAGGAGATCAATCTCTGATCTATTCATACTGGTATATAGAACTTGGTAATTAAAATGATGGGGTACGAGTAAGTAGTAGTAAGTAAGTACTTAGTATTTAGGGGACAAAAGGTAGTTTGTTACAATTAAGTACGTAATAGAATAGGAACAAATCAAACAAAACAGAATTCGGAACAAAGTCTGACAAATGATATAAATAAAATTCTTAATTCAAAATATTATACAAGAAAAAGTATTTTTTATACAGTTGCTTCTTTAAGAACATTATTATTTTTTTTAGTTTTTAGTTTTTGTTTTGTAAATTTTGTTTTGCTAATTTCTCATTTTGGAGTCTTACTCGCTGGCTTGTGGGAATGTCATGCCGGTAAATGAAGGTGATAGAGTTTCGGTGTACATCTCACACCCTGTACCTTGAAGATAATCATTTTGCCAGGCCTGTGTGTCTGGTGACTGAAAGTTAGAAAATGGTTTTGTTGTGGTTTGGATTTAGTAAGTTCGCTAATGTAACTACGTGGCGAATGTTTGTTTCTTGTTATTGTTTTTGTTCTTGTTCTGGTTCTTGTTCTTGTTCTGGTTCTGGTTCTGGTTCTTATTCTTGTCGTAGTTGTATTCACTTGAGTGGAGTTGAGAATTATTTGTATTATTGGCTCATTATGCGCATAGGTATCGTTCAGGACAGGGGCATAGTGTGGCTGGTTGGGCCGCTTAATGGCGCAGAGTTTCCATTTTGTTTTGGTACACAGACACGGGCACACTTCTATTATAGCTAAGCAGTGTATGCGTAGGTGTGTATGTGTGTGTATATTGGTGTGGAGGTGTAGGCGTGTTTTGGGGTAACATTTGCTTGTCAGGCTTTGATCTAGCTTAAGCATTAGCTTTGGCATACTTCTCATATCAGCTTATCAGGAAACTTTACACGCGCTCCTAGCTTAACAGCTTTACCATAAACGCATAGGTTTAGCATTAACCACTTTTACTTTGGAAAGAGAGAGTTCCAACCAAAAAACGAATGGAAACAAAATTCATATTAAATAAGCAAAAGACAAACAAAAGACAAAAACCATAAATAAATATCGAACATCAACTTAAATGCTGCACGCTGCATACTTGGGCTCTGCATCTAGAGAGCACAGCTCACAAAGATACCATACAATTAGCGTTTTACAATGCTCTCGATTTCGTAGTGTGTGTGGGCGTGTGTGTGAGAGTATATGTGATCTTGTGTCTATGTGTGTGTGGCTTATCATTTGGCTGTATTTTCCTAAAATGCAAAGAGCTCTGCTGCGAACGTATTTGAAAACGAAAAGAATATTCAGCAAAGGATATTATTTGTATTTGCAAACATTGAAGGCTTTTCAACATTGAAAACATTAAGTACACAAAGAATTAGCATAAAACACCGACTAATTTTTCACAGTGTACTTCGATGTGTATCTCTGTGGGTGTGTATGTTTGTGTGATTGTGTGTGTGTGTCTTAAGTATCTTTGAAAATAAATAAATATTTAACACCATAGACAGGCAATTTTACATATTTCTCCAGACATTGGCATCAATGAAAACATTTCTGAAGATCACAATATTTAAAGTCTTTGAAAATCAAAACAGACAAAGTAAAAAAGTTTACAACATCAATTAGAACTGATCAACAGATAATAAAAGCTGAGTGTAAGTGTATATGTGTGTATTTTGTATTTTGTATTGTATATTGTTTTTGTTTTTGTTTCTTGTTTGTTTTTGGTTTTGTTTTTGTTTTTGTTTGGTACGATATTTGTCAACGCTGCACGATTAACAAGTACATAGTTGAATAGTAGGTAGATAGTATAATAGATACGATACGATACGAATATGTTTATAGCATATAGAAATTGGACTGCCCGCTGCGCAACTTACTCAGTGGCCTGAGCAAATGGTATTCCAATAAATGTGGGACTCAATGTTTCTGTGTACATTTCCATGCCAGTGCCGCGCAGGTAATCATTAGTCCAAGATTGCATTTCTGGCGACTATGGGGTTAAAGACGTACATACATAATATAGAATTGATATTTTATTTGATTGGCCGTCTGATGTGGACAGCCCCTTCGTCACTTCTCTTCACTTCTCATCACCACTTCACTGCATAAAGCAATCATTTTTGCTCGCCTGCTTTCTGGATCTGAATACACCCCAGTTGTGTGCTTGTGTCTGGTATATTGTTAGGAGTAGCCGTCGTGTGCCAAGGTGTGGACCTTGGCAATATACTTACCGTCTTGAAAGAACGCATGGCAAACAGATTGGCCATCATTGTGGAAAAGCCGGGCGCTAAACAGCTCTGCGCTATGAAACCCAACTTCAGCTCGGCCAGGCAAATGACATCGTCACCTTGTTTCCAGTCCCACGATGGGATGTTCAGCAAGTACGCCTGCAAATCATGGGGAATCAATAGAGCTTACGCGTGGGCGAGTGACTTGCATTGGTCTCTTACCTTATTGTGGTATTGCATCAACTGTATGATGACACGTATGTCATCGCTGTAGTTCTTAATCGAAATGACTCTCATTATGTTGGCAGCATCTTCTGCGTCGGGATCTTGGCAATATTTGTTAGCTAGCACCAGGCAGGCGTCGGCTTCGTGTACCTTTGGCGGGATATATCGTGAATTAGCAATAGTTCAGGTATTACCTTGCATATACATATGTTCATATTAGTCATTTGTCTATGTCTCTGTCATAGCCAAGCACAGCTATAGACTTTGTTTCTTGTTTATTGTAAGTAAGTAGTACATTGTATGTTTTGTTAGGTATAGTTGGGTGTTGTTAGGTGATTGTGATCGCTTCAGGTGTCACGTTAACATGTTTGTCGGACGTTAGTAAGCGGTTAACACGTACATTGGCTGCACAGCTACGTATAGTACAGGTTGAAGTAGTTGAAGTGTCACAAGTGAAGTGTTTGCTTAATTTTCTCTATAGTATATGATATATTGGGCACAATTGGACTATGCCTGTTTGTCTTGCATACACATCAAGTAGTTAATTGGCTTTGATAAGCTTTGGCAACAACCGGCGATAGGGAGACAGTAAGCAGTTATTCAATTTGTTATTGTGTTAGGTGAGTTGCTGTTTTCTTTTATTTTGTTTTTGGTTTTATTCAACTTCCAGTTCAAAGGTGACAACAACAATAATCACAACTCAAAAAGCGAACGCTCGGTGCATGGGTGGAAAGTAGAGGTTACAGAGAACTTGCATCGTTCAGAGTGTTTTTTGTTTGTAATTAAAACTAAAGATCAAAGCAATGTACAAACTAAAGAGCCAAACTCAAATGGCCTTTACACATAAGATTATATATGTACACTTATTCAGATTATTTATAGTTCTTGCAGCATGCAATGTGTTTAAACTACGGATGTTCGACTAGCAACAGAGGAGAAGAGAGGCAGCAGTTGACCATGCAATTGGCTAAACTACAACAAAAGTTATGCGAACATGCAATTAAACAAGCTTCGATTGGTAACAGACGTATTCAGCTTCCAGTGTGAACTGCATACATCTGTGATATCTTCAATTGGAAGTTTATCTGAAGCATATTCTTAGCGCCTGCTGGCCAAACACGAATATTAACGCAACTAACGTATGCAATTACTTTCTTAAATTAGCTACAACATTTAAAGCAGACAATAAATAATACGGTTGAACTTACTAAAATTAATTAATATTATATTTCGTACATATATTGATAATGCTTTTTTCTTATACTCGTTCACGAACGGAGAGAAGTATATTAGTTTCTTGAAATGTCCTCCAGATGTACCCGTATGAGTTCTTACGATAAACGAATTCTGCTTGAAAATCTAAATCTTTTGCAGTATTGATTTCCTATATTTAAAATATAGATAAACTCGCGTATCTTTTGGGGCGTGGCATATTGGACAAAACTATACATTCAATACTTTAGCAGCTAAAATCATAAGTGAGTTTGGTGATTGTCATTAAAAATGGACCAAAAGTTGAAATAATAATCTGTATCTTTCACAGCTCTATAGTTAGGATCACCAACTCTGGAAAGTAGATCATAGAAGCATAGAAATTATATTAATTGCCAAAAAACGATTCTTGAATAGCTTTAGATGTTAGTGAGCCGTGAATGAGTATCACGCAGTCGGTAATGCCTGACTGCAATATTCTTACTTGTTTTTTTTCCCTCGGTCTGCTGGTTCAATGAATTAATACTATGTTTTCATTACGTTTTACTAATATTTATTTTTCATTGATCATATACCTGACTCAACAGTAAATACTTTTAACAATACACAAAAGGAAAGATGATATATTTTACAGTGTAGCTTATCGTTATGGAATCACAGTTAAATTATTATTGATCTCTTTTTATACCATTACTTGACTGGGCAAAGCGACTTCTTCAATGTCATAGGAAAAATAAATTGCCGGCAATATTTATTATAATGTGCGAACTTATTCTCAGTGTTAAGATATGCCCTCTCTTGCTTGCCTTTCGATCATCTAACGATCAGTCGATTGTAATGCTTAGGCACTGTAAAAATATCGATCGGAAAATTAGAGTTCGTAGAAGAACACTTCCAGAAGAAACTCGCTCTAGCTTGATATCTTAACAGAATTCAGAGTTAATCTATAACATTATTGAAATAAAATACAAATAGTTTTCACCTGCCTGGTCTGTCTTAAGATGAGTTCTCTGCAACTACATACAGGTGTATACATGTCATTTAAATACATTTCGTTTTTATATCTAACCAGACCGAATGCCATCATCCGGTAATAAGGTTTGTACATTATGTTAAAATACTTAAGAATTGCATATTTGTACCGTTATATATGCAATAGTTTACTTAGCACATACATACATACATATTTAATAAGTTAAAAATTAACATATTGAAAATGTTTTTAGTTCGGAAATGAATGCGGCTTAAGCTAACAATGAACACGATTAATGTTTGCATACACAATAACGTCCAATAATTTACAGTGTATCCGAGTGTGGGTGTGTGGTATCGTGGGTGTATGTCGGATATTGAACGTGTTTAGTGTAGTTTACAAATGTACACACATAAGTCGGTACTCTACTGCTGCTGCAGATTCTAATACATTGCAATTTACCAACGTTTACGGTAGATATGTATTGATGAAAGTCTGCGCACTCTTGATGTACACAGACCTAAGCCACAATTATGAACAATGAGCTGACATTACATACATACATAAAATATTACATTGATACATATTGGGTATGCGATAATTGTTACACACACACATCTACACACATATATATATGCATATATACATCCATATATATATATAAAGTATTATATACATATATTGAGATACCTATATATATACGCATGTAAGCAGCTTAGTACAAGTGTTTGATAGTTCGGTATGGTAAGTATGTATTTATGTTAAGTATGTTAATACGAAGTTAATTGTCTTGGTTTGGTTAGGTTTGGTTTGGTTTGGTTTGGTTTGGTTTGGCTTGGTTTGGTTTGGCTTGGCAACACGCACAATAAAAATGAAAAAGAAAAAAGAAACAACAACAAAACGAAAATGTTAAGTAAATTAACCAACGAACATAGAGAAACATATAAAATAAAAAATTGTTTTACCTTAACCCTTTGCAGATCAATCGGATTCATAATGGTTCCTTGGAAGAACTCCACGGTGGTAAAATGACGTTTGAACAAACCCTCAAGTTCCAAATCGGGTGGTTTACTTATTTTTTGTTTTTGGTTATTAAGTTTTGGACGTAAATATATATGTGTGTATATATATTTATATGATTTTTTTGAAAAGAATAGTACAAAGTTTTTTTGAGTTGTTTTGTGTTATTTTCAAGTTCCAATTTACACAGTTTTGGCATAGAATTGGATTGTATTAAAACCAAAAGATTTTCGTGTGTGTGTGTGTGTTGTGTGAGAACACAAGTAATACACATTGTTTAATAATTGTGCAATTGGAGTATGCGAATGACGAAAGAATAGGAAATGAAAAAGAAAACATAAACGAAATTAAAATCTCTGGTCCAAAAATTAAGTGTGCGTTGGCGAATGGTCTATGAATTTGCCACAAATAATCCTCAATACATTTAGAACTAAATTAAAATATACTAAAGGTAAATTAAAAGTTACTTTTATAGTTTATGTAAATATATTCATTTATGTACAAAAGTAAAAGGTTTCGTTTTGGTTTACAGTTATCTTCAACTCTTAAGTTGCCTTAAATTATCTAATTCATAAGCTAATCTTATCTAAAGTAGAAGCTGATATAACTAATAAAAATACATACATATCTACATATGTATAACACACAGATTTTTGGCTGTCCGAGTGCTACAAATATGTCGATATGAAAACTTAAATCTAGTTCGAAGTTGAAGAAAAAACTTTATTTTAAAAGTATAAAGTGCTGCGAATCAAAAACAAAATATATATATTTAAAAATATTAAGTCTTATGCTAAGCAAAATGTAAACATATATATATATATATATATATATAAAATATATACATATATATATATATATTCATATACTTGATCTATGTTAATAGTTATTAAATAATAGAATAGAAAATTCAAACTTCAATTAAATTTCAGCTAAAAGGACATTCCATTGAGCAGGTTATTAGTATTACTTAATGCCAACGTGAACAAATCGAAAACATTACTAATTATATATGTAGTTATTGAAGGAATCGGAAAAGAGTGAAATGAAAGTGGTTTACATAAAAACTATGGCAGGGCATATTCCTTTAAAGAATTTTTGGCAAATTTCCATAAACGCAAGAGAAAACATAATGGAAAATAAATATCGTATTTACTATATTTGCAAAAGCTTCAACTCGATACAACTGACTGAGATATTTGCAGCATCCGCGTTGGATCATCCTTGCAAGTATCTTACACGTGTAAAGTGAGCAGGAAACAGGAAACAAAAACAGAAAAGAAGAACAAATCTCTAAGAAAAGTTGCAAGAAATTAAAGTGAGAACGAGCAGATTTTGAGAGTTCGGGCTGTGGCAGTGGCTGTGACTGTGGCTGTGGCTATGGGCTATCAGAAGCCCAGCCAGTTAAGGCAGGCTAAAGACTAAGGCTAAGGGACTTGAGGTGGGCATATTTATGTGAAAGGCAATTTGCATTTTGCTGTCAGCCGAACGCTGTTTATACACTATGTTATTGATATGTGGTCGAGCTAATACCTATGTACAAACAGACAGGAATGGCAGAGCACCTTTTGCTCGGCCTAACGCTGATTGGACTTGACTGATCAGTTTTTTCAGTATATTTGTATTTAGTGTAATCTGTTTGTATATGTGATTGTGTCGCGTGGACGTGGGCGTGTCTCTGTGTCTGTGTGTGTGTGTTTGTGTTTGTATATGTATATTAGGCTTTGCTCCTTGCAGTGTTATTGTGTACCTTGACTCGTTCCAGATCGACTGCGTTCATCATTGTGCCCTGAAAAAACGCCACTGTTGTATAGTGGCGCTTCAGCAGTCCCTCTAGCTCCAGGTCGGGCTCTTTGCTATTTTGTTTTACATTACGTTATATTATATATAGTTAATATTAATAATTTATGTAGAACAAGTTAAGGCATATGGAAAAGAACAAAATCATAATTGGAATTGGAATTGGAATTTCGTGTTAGCTACCAACTAATTTGAATAATGCAATGATTCTTAAAGTAAGTGCGCTGACTAATTAATTTATAGACTTAACTGTTTAAGACCTTCTCTAAACGAGAGCAAAACAAAATATATCTTGCCTGCGGCGAGGTCGATAATCATATTTCTGCTTATAAACTGATTTGCATTGTTTTACTGATTCCTTTAACTAAATTATAGATTTATCATATAATACAACACATTTACGGAACTTAAGAAAAAAAACTTAAATAATCAATTGTACAAATTGGCAAAAAGTGTTTTGATCGATTTTTTGATTATTTTCAAAAAAAGGAAAAGACAACGGAAAATGAACTTACCGATGTAAAAAGACTACTTCGACATCGACGTCCTCACGATCTTCGTGTAGAAAGTCCTTCAGGAAATGCGACACGGACTCGTATGTTATATGACCGCATACCACAATATGTCTATAACCGACGAGTGGATGTGTGTGTGTATTTGTGTGTAGCAAGAAGAAATATATATTAGTAAATTCTCTAGAATTGGCAATCGACTCAAAAGCGAAAGTGTGACTTAATGCTAGAGTGGGATGCAGAAGCAGTGTGACACGTCACATGCCACAACTATCATGTTGCGTGTACTTTAGCTGCATTAGTGTGCAGTGAGTATATATATGTCGATGTGCGAGTGTGTGTGTGTTTGTGTGTGTGCGCTGCTATCATTGGCAAACAAAATCCATAGAATTCTGTTAGTTAACCCAATGAATGCAATTAAGCTCAAGTAGTTACAGTTGTGTTTGATGGATGGATGTGTGTGTGTGTGTGTGTGAGTATGTTGGTATGTATTATATAGTTGGTGTTCGTATATATGTTTTCTTATTCATTTATAGATTAATATTTTCATATCATTTGTTTAGGTTATCAACTGATTTGTTTTTATTATAATTACTATTACAACTTGTCAGTGTTATTTTGTTGTTAAAACAGTAAACAGTATTATAATTATAAATTACATTGTATTTTCATCAAATAAAAATACACAAAATTATATAAATTGACACAAAGAAATTGAAATGAAGAATCACTGCAATATGCATGAATTTAGTCTGCTACCCCAGAAATCTCTTTGAACACAAAATCAAAGGTAACAAAAAAGAAAACTATAAAACCAAACGAAACGAAACGAAACGAAACACAAAATACGTATAGGTACAGGTGCAAAGCGCTTGTATACTATTTAACTGGGTTCATAGCTTTGCATTTGTATTTCACAAATCAAACGAAAACGAAAGTTAAATAACAAAAAATGAAGAGTTTCACTAACTAAAGAATAGCTACGCACACCGTTGGTATTATTCAACTTACATGCATCGTATAAAGCATCAACAAGTACTAAAAATAATTGTTTGTTTTTAAATGTGTTCTCTCTACACATATGTATATATATTTATATACAGAGTATATGCTAAACTCATTCCAGTCAATTACTACGGTGTTCATATCGAGTATATATATGTAGGTATATGTATTCGGGATGTAACTCTTATGCTTATGACAGACATGCAATCAGGCAAACCGAGCAGGCATTCTCATTCCCCTACTTAACTATTTGCAATTAGGGTGCATCGAGTAAAACATGCGTACTTCTGGTTATAATTGTATTACTGTGTGGTGGGTGTGTGTGTGTTTGGGGGTTGGGGGTGCAGGCACCATATTATGCTACAAGCTCGAGTTGAGTTATGTTGAATGTATGATATATATAGTGTATTTGCACTTGTCTCAACTGCATTGAGATCCTCTTCGAGTTTGAAACACAAATTCCACAGTCGAAGTGCATAAATTTAATACTTGAAGCATCAGCTTACGATAAACCAAGTTTGATTTATTCATTACAAGCACAGATGCTAAACAAATAGTTACTCAAAGGCAGCAGGACATCTTTCTATGTGATATCCCCTCAACCTGGCCATCCAAAAAAAAAAAATAGAGAAATGATGAGAAAAGTGTGTTTTATGGATTTGTGTTTTTGCTTCGTTGTGATTTTGGTGAATGGGTTTCGCTAAAGAGTGTCAAAGAGTTTTGCTGTTTGGGAAAATTTTTTTTTTATCGTAACGGGAAAGCAAACTAACTAACTATTTAACTAAGCTAAACTAAATTGCAATGATTTCTTTGTTTGTTTATTTTGCTTAATAATGTGCTGAGTTTTGTTTTCATTTTGTTGCTGTTGCTGTTGTTGTTGTTGTTGTTCTCAAAATGCAATATTATCAGGGAAACGAATAAAATCGAGTAAGTGAAAAGTGAAAAGTTAAAAGTTTTATGCCTGGCCACGCATTTTCATTTCCATTTTCATTTCCATTTTCAATTTCATTTTGTTTTTGTTTTTCTATTTTTACTTTTTATATCAATACAGCTCACGTGTTCCGCACATGAATATAAGAAAAAAAGAACACAAAAAACGAATCCATTTAACAAATTATGTTTATATTTCATATGAGTCCTTAACGTGCCATGAATGGTATAAATGTCGATGGCTAAGTGAAATGTTGATAACTCAAAAATGAACCATACGAAGTAGGTACACAGGTGGTAACTAGTTGAGAGCTTGAAAGTAACGTAATGTGTGTGTGTTGATAGGATTCGGAAATGGTATCGGGTATATGTTTTTTTTATTTTTTTTTTTTTTTGTTTGTCTGATCATCGTTTAGCGGCAAAAGTTTCTGACCAGAAACTGCACTCACCTAAGACTCGACCTACGCGATCACAATATATGAGATATATAGTGTAAGTTTGTATAGAAAATATCAACAACTTCACGTCAATTCAGGTCAGAGAACTAAATGGTAAGGAGTACTATGTGACAAATGGCGTCAATCAGGTCAAGCCAATTCCACTTGGTTCGAGTCGAATCTAAATCGCATCCATACATAGCACTAAACACGATGATAGAGTTGATAGAGCTGATAGAGTTGATAGAGCTGATAGAGTTGAGAGTTACGTATATATCGAACAGTAGTTACAACGCAAATTGATTGATGTTTATGTTAAGTTGTGTTGGGTCTTGTTATATGCGCCAATTCGTTTATTCATTGATTGTACCATGGTTTATTGTGGTTTTTCTTTAGACAGAAGTATAAAATAGAATAGAATAGAATAGAATAGAATAGTAAGAGAGCACAGACAGAAACAACATAAATAACCGAAGGGATACGAAATCAAACAATTACATAGTTTTTTTGTATTATTATAGTTTATGAAATCGATTATATAGCGGAAGACATAAATACAAGTTTCTCAAGAACTACAACATTGATAAGAAGTAGCTTATAACTGAGAAAAACAGATTGACAGACAGAGACACAGAGATACAGAGATACAGAGAAAGAGAGAGAGACAGAGTTGGGACAGAGATTAAGAGTATTATATGTTTTGTATATATATGAGCATCATTAGTTTTATATTATTTATTAAGATTTTGCACACACACATATTTGATTTGATGTCACATGATTATTAAACCAATCGAATGCATGGCTAGTCAAAGTCAAAAATAATGCAGCTCTTGAATGGATAGTTCAATTTACAGACTATACAAAAACATTACTGATCTCAGGTGGCAGCTGCTTTATTTAAAAGTTGCTCAAGTGCCTTACAATGAAATTAAGGTTCTCTAACCATTTGACATTTGAATGAAGGTATGTGTGTGTACATTGTTTAATGCGTTTTTCTAATATTTACGTATAAGTTGTTGTTTTCTTTATGGAATATTTTAGTATGCATTATTATCGTTGAATGTTTTGATCGTTTAAATTGATTTGCATAATATACATGTATATATATATATTTATATACGAATTACGATTTTCGAGTATCAAGGACTATATAGACAATTACGAATATTTAACACAATATTATTAAACACCAATCACTGATTCTTCAAGGACTAATATAATGCAACATGACTAGATGATGGCATACAAAACAAGTTTAACCAAAGAAAATTGAGATAATCGTTCAGTTTAGGTGTTTTGCCAATCAAAAGTATTTGGTAAAATCTTTTGCCCCACCCAGCCCCAAATCCTATATATTTCAATTTATCTGCCATTCTAATAGATGTTTTTTTCTTGTTTTTACCAGTTTTTTTCATTTTTTTTTGTAGAGTCAACTAAAAATCAGAACTGAAAACGTGCAACACCTGCGCTGAGAATATGCGCTGGGAAAACTAATAATTATAATGAAGGTAATCAAAATTTGTTAACAAGATATAGTATGATATGTAAAGAGAGCAGAAGAATAGGTTCATAAATTTTGGCGATCAATAAGAATTTATTAAAGTTACAACAAGATAATTTGGTAGTTAAGAGTACGCACATTATACACTCAGAACAGTTTAAGTACGATACATGTTTTATTTTTTTGGTTTCAAACAGGTTTCAATGGTTCTCAAAATGCCAATCCAAAATTAACCAAATACAATTAATTCAAATGATACATATATTCAATTTAATCAAATCATATCGATGTGGCGAGCCTTTAAATGAGAATATAAATACCTAAATGCCACGACTGCATTGGCAGCTTAGTTAACTACGTAGAGCAACGTAGACGACACAATAAGTTCGAAATAAAGCGGATAATAGAAAGCAAAATGAATCCAAAGACGAATACAAAATGAGTTCTTGTTGTTGTTGTTTCTGTTGCTGTTGTTGTTGTTGTTTGAAATTAAAATTGAAAAGAATAAATATTTCTGTATTAAATTTCTTGTTGATTCTTGCTTTCGCATTTGTAATTTTGTTTCATTGTCTTGTGAGAATTATTTTCCACAATTATTTTGTTGTTGTTGTGTGTGCTATATAGTAAATGTTATTGAGTGTGTGTGTGTTGGTGTGTGTTTGATCGATCGAATGTTCTGAAATCGTTTTGAGTTTGTGATTGATTGATTGGATAGTTGCTGTTGTTGTTAAGGTATTTCAACGTATTGCTGGATAGCCATAGCCATACCGGCCCTTGGGGCGTATGAGTAATATGTATTTTGATGCCGTTAGCTAGCTGCTTTGCTATGCTGGTTAGTTGGCCGCGTTCTATGAGGCTTTCATATTATGCCAGTGTCTGTGTGTGTTTGTGGAACATTTGTTTATATAAAAGTGTATATACACTATATATATATATAGTTATTTATATATATATATATAGTCATGTAGGAGTATGTTTGTTTGTTGATTGGTTAAATTTTTTGTTAAAATCAAAATCAAATTTCAGATTTATATATTTGCACGCGAAAAGGATTTGTATGAATGAAGCGCAAAGTAAAAGTAAATACTGCACAATATATTCATTTATTTTTTATTCACATTTTTTATTTTTGTTTCACTTGCAGAAATTTCATTTTGATTTGGTGTTTAATTATCAGAACAAAGTCTTTTGGTTAATTGAAAACTTTTATTGACTTAAATTTATGTTTTTTCTTTTTT